CTGGTTTGAGCCCAGTGCTGAAGCTTTAGCTTAGAATCTGGGCGAGAGTGGTTTAGGGGAGATCCAGGGAGGCAGCGCCAGGGACGACCATCCATGTATTTCAAGCCACCTTTTCGCCCCCAAAAGGTAGCTTGAAATACCAGCTATTTTTTTTGGCCGTTCCGTAATGGGCGACGACGACGACGGCGACGGCGACGACGACGACGACCGACGACGACGGCGACGACGACTCACACCGCATAGCTTGCATAATACATCCTATACCACAGAGATTCCACCGCGTAGCTCAAACAACATAGCATATACCACATAGGTTGCACCTCCATGGTGCAGCAACTTGCTGTTTGGGGCCCGCGACGGCCGACACATTCCAAATTCGTTTCTTGCTTTCGCTTTCGCACCCCTTTTGGAAAAAACACCCATGTATTTCAAGCCACCTTGTCGCCCCCAAAAGGTGCCTTGAAATACCAGCCATTTTTTGGCCGATCCGCGGGCGAGAAATTAGTTGGCGACGACGCCCGACGACGGCGACGACGACGACGACGACGACCGACGACCGACGACGACGACGACGACCGACGACGACGGAAAGGGGATGGCGACGGAGGGAACATCAGCAGCCATGTCAGCTCTTATGCCCCAAAGCAAAGTAAGGCGCTGGGGCATAAGAACTTTGCGCCTCGAGCGGCTTAGAATCTATAAAGTTCTTAGCCGTGTAGCGCACGGCGGGACGCCAAGCTTTCAAAGAACAAGTTGCTCGGAGCTGCATTTGGTCGGAGTTGCATCTGGTCTGGCTGGTCTGGCTGGTTTGGCTGGTCTGGCTGGTCTGGTTTGAGCCCAGTGCTGAAGCTTTAGCTTAGGATCTGGGCGAGAGTGGTTTAGGGGAGGTCCAGGGAGGCAACGCCGGGGACGACCACCGAAAAACAGTTTTTTTGCATTGCAGTTGTTTTTGCATTGCAGTTTTTTTGTTGCATTGCAGTCTGGCTGGTCTGGTTTGAGCCCAGTGCTGAAGCTTTAGCTTAGGATCTGGGCGAGAGTGGTTTAGGGGAGGTCCAGGGAGGCAGCGCCGGGGACGACCACCGAAAAACGGTTTTTTTTGCATTGCAGTTTTTTGTTGTATTGCAGTTTGCATTGCAGTCTGGCTGGTCTGGCTGGTCTGGTTTGAGCCCAGCGCTGAAGCTTTAGCTTGGGATCTGGGCGAAAGTGGTTTAGGGGAAACCCAGGGAGTCAGCGCCGGGGACGACCACCCATGTATTTCAAGCCACCTTTTCGCCCCCAAAAGGTAGCTTGAAATACCAACTATTTTTTTGGCCGTTCCGTAATGAGCGACGACGACGACGGCGACGGCGACGACGACGACGACGACCGACGACGACGGCGACGACGATTCACACCGCATAGCTTGCATAATACATCCTATACCACATAGATTCCACCGCGTAGCTCAAACAACATAGCATATACCACATAGGTTACACCTCCATGGTGCAGCAACTTGCTGTTTGGGGCCCGCGACGGCCGACACATTCCAAATTCGCTTCTTGCTTTCGCTTTCGCACCCCTTTTGGAAAAAAAAACACCCATGTATTTCAAGCCACCTTGTCGCCCCCAAAAGGTGCCTTGAAATACCAGCCATTTTTTGGCCGATCCGCGGGCGAGAAATTAATTGGCGACGACGCCCGACGACGGCGACGACGACGACGACGACGACCGACGACCGACGACGACGACGACGACGACCGACGACGACGGAAAGGGGATGGCGACGGAGGGAACATCAGCAGCCATATCAGTTCTCATGCCCCAAAGCAAAGTAAGGCGCTGGGGCATAAGAACTTTGCGCCTCGAGCGGCTTAGAATATATACATATATATATGTATATATGTATACATATATATATATATATAGAAGTCATTAGAAGATGTCTTATGTCTCGTCCAAGATCCGCATGTAGGAGGACATGCCCGACCTAACAGTAGGCTCAGGGGGGAACGCATCGACTCCCCAACGCCCACTGATCGCCGATAGGGGTCTGATAGTCTCGCCCCGCCCTGAAACGTGTGCACTCTCCGTCGGGGGCCGATCGCCGATCTATCGGCGATGCATCGCCGATTCCAGGTGGAGGTTCCCCTCGTAAGCCAGTCCTTCACTATCGTTTCCCCGCAGCAGCAGGTCATCACAGAGAGAAGTGCACGTTCTAGTTGGAGCCGGCTGTGGGGCTGAGGTTGCCCAGCGCTGGTCCCGGCCAGCAGAAAGGGGGGAGGGCCTCCACGGCTCGAGAAGCTGGGCAGTTTCGACCGACCCAGGGAGGTGTCCAGGGACAGATTTCGAGCGGATTTGCCCCCTCCCCCCCCCCGCCTCCGCCCTCCCCTCTGGACGCCCGAAATGGGTAATTACGGAAAGGATGGGTACAATGCCCAACAGCAGTTCCTGTTAATTTTGAACAGGGCTCGCTGTCCGCGCCGCCGCAGCCTGTGTCCATTCGAAACAGAAGGCCGCCTGCCCAACAGCGGCCGCTGTTGGTTTGGGACAACATGTGTTGTTGGGCATTGAACCATTTCTTTCCGTACCCATGTCGGGCGTCCAAATCCCCCCTCCCCCCCCCCTTTTGGCAGATCTTCTCGGGGTCCATCCAGAGCAGGTCCCCCGAGCCGCTTCCAAAACGCCAGGCTTTTCGAGATTTCCCAGATCTCCCTTGGCTCCGCACGGGCTCCAGGGACGAGGGGCCGCAAGCTGCTGCTGCTCCACTCCTCGAGCGTATCCGATGTCCTGAGCCAGCCGCGTCAGTACGCCACGCCCGTCTCATTTCCAGGCCAGACGAGACCTAGACCCCGACGTCGCGCCTTTTTTCACAGCGTCGGCGAATTAGGCCAGCAGGGGATGTCTGGAGCGGGGGAACGGGGCCACACCACCTGGCGGACCCCCCTGGCTCATCGGGCCGGTGGTGGTGCTGCCGCTTTTCATTGTTCGGAGGGCACCCCTGTGGCGCCACGGGCCCTTCATGCATCGGTCCTCGTTCGTTTGCTTGCGGATGCGATCTGATTTTCTCGTGGAGCCCCGTGGGATCCGGCTGCCTTGGCTGACGACCATCTCCCAAGTCATAGTTGAAGATGTGGATTGGACTCCACTCCATTCCGAGTAAGGCATCGACTACAGAATTGATTTACGCACCCCCCCCCAAAATAACATCTCCCCATCGAACGACGGAAATTCAAATTCTTCGTAAATCTACCATCTACCAGGAGTTCTAAGTACTACCCGTATATTCGGCAATAAGTTCAATTCTGGGGTGAACCAATTATGTATTCGATCCCCTACTCCACCACTCGGAACAGCTCATGAGTAGGGTTCAGAGGCCCTGGGGTGGGAATTGGCGCTCTCCCCAGATCCTCCGGCGGAAACGGCCTCGGACTAGGAGGCAACAGCCAAAAAGAACGGGGGAAGTGTGGTTCGAGTAGGAGATCGACTGCAGAATTGATTCACCCCAACACTAACCTCTCTCGTTCAATCTACTGAGCAATAATCATAATTCCCCGTTGAATTACGAAAGTTCTACGCATTCGTCGTAGATTCGATGGGGTAAGTCAAAGTTCGGGGTACATTAATTCTGTAGTCACCCCCCTACGCTAGTGGTGGAGTTCCCCCCCCCCCTCACCCCCTGCCCGGGCGGTTAAGCAAAACTGGGCGCGGGAGACGAACAGCAGGACGGGGGCATGGAGTCCCCCCCGCCCAAGATGCTCTAGTATATGGTAGCATTTTGAGCGTATCGTTTTGACAGCTGCGCTACGATTGTTTGTTGCGTGTTGTTTCTTGATGCTCGCATTATGTTTACTGCATGTGGATGAGCGGCTGTTGTGCTCACGATGTAATGGGTCATGTGGTTGCTGACAGTCCGTTCCCGGGTGACGGTGGCCTCGTGCTTACCTTGCCTCGCTGATTGCTCACGGAGTACCGATTCATGTTGTTTGCGTCTTGTTCACTACATACTTTTGGTGAGACGAACGCAAGAGCATCTGCGACACGTGTGCGACCTCAACGGGATCTGTTTGAGAAGGCGCCCTCGGGCCCTGATGACGAATTGTCCTCCCAGCCTCCGAGGGATTCCGCCAGACCCAAGCCGGGAAGCATCGAAGAGAAGTCCGCGTTGGCTCGGAGATGTGCAGTTGTTTGCTTCCTCCCCTTCTCCTCCTCGTCCTTCCTCCTCCCTCCTCCTTCTCATCACTCCTCCCTCCCCCCATTTTCTCCTCTCCCCTCCTCCCTCCTTCCCCTCCTCCTCCTCCTCCTCCTCCTCCTCCTCCTCCTCCTCCTCCTTCCTCCTTTTCCTTCCTCCTCCTCCTCCTCCTCCTCCTCCTCCTCCTCCTCCTCCTTCCTCCTCGTCCTCCATGGGATTCGCAGGGGCTGCTGCGGAGTGCCGCGCGAGCGGGCAGCTCTCAGTCCCCGGGTTGCGGCGCCCTCGCCAGGCCCGGCGCAGGCGCTCGCCCTCCGAGGGGAGCTCCTCGGAGGAGTCCGGCCTGTCGGGCGCGCGCGATGACTTGCCAGCCGCAGCGGCCGACGCATGACTCGTGCTTCTCCCCAGACATGCTCGCGTCGTAAACAAGAATCAGGACGAGAGGTTTCTGCTAGTTTTCGGCCTCTGGGGTCCCTCGCAGGGCCTCGGGAGCGTCAAAAAACGACTCAGGATGAAAAACCGGTCCCGGGGAAAGGGTCGGGTGTTCCAGGGACGCCGCCCTGAACAAAATCAAGACGTCGCTTGTCTGGGTCTGCTTCTCTTCATGCTGCCGCCTGTTGTCAGGGTGATGGAGGCAGAAGTTCACCACCCACCAAACCACCCCAGCCCAACCCGAAGGCTCAGATTTACCCTCGATTTCCAGTGGGGGGGGGTCGGGAAACATCGACAAAAACACATGTGGAACCCTTACCCCCCCCAACCCGAAATTCGGGTCTTCGGGTTGGGTTGGGGTGGTCTGGTAGGTAGGCAGAAGTGGCACCAGGCCCATCTCCACGAGAGTCAGCGTCCCACCGGTACACGAGTGAGGTGGCGGCGCGGGCGGCAGAAGCAGGGGGGGGCCATGGTGTCAGGCGGCGCGTCTGATGGTTTTAGACCTTCGAAGTCGAGACTTCTGCACACCAGTCGATTGGACACGTATCCAGATCTCGGTCTGTTGCTCGTGCCCTTGAATCTGCCTGACCTCCTCGTCTGCATTTTCTGTTCTTCGGTGCAGGCGCACGCGATGCCAACAGTTCGCACGTTCTCACACGTTCATAGCTACCCCCCACGCCCCGCACTTCCCGCCAGATGCTTCTGACGCTTCGGGTCCGACTCAGAGCCTCTCGGAAGCTGGGCGAGGGCTGCTAAAACCGTGGCTCCCGGAAGGAAAAAACAACTTCCCGGAATGAGCTTCTCAGAAGGCCGCAGCGCTTCCGAGAAGCGCCCAGCCGCCTTCTGAGAAGGCCCTCTCCTTCTTGCGCCCATCCCATCGCCTGCCGCCGCTCGGGCCTTCCAGCATCGGCCACCTGGGCCCTCGCGGGCTCCTCTCGGGGTCAGGCTTCGGCTCTCTCGGGGACCTCGTGGGGACCTCTCGGAGCTCCACTTTGTGGGCTCCGAGCCTCCTCGAGCCGCTCCTGCGCTCTTCTCGGGATCCCCTCTGGGCTTCGGGGCCCTCTCGGGGCCCCTTTGGGGCCTGCTGCGTGGTGGCGCCACCAGCGGGCGGCGCGAGGTGCGGCCCGTGCCGGCCACCGCGCAAGGCCGCGGCGTCCTCGCGCGCGAGGCCCAATTGCCTACGTGTCTTGGCAGCGCTCGGGAGCGTGCGTTTCTGTTCGTCTGCGAGGGCCATCGAGGAGCATCTTGGAGCATCTGGGGGAAAGTACACGCACGACACCGGATGGCCGCCGCGTTGGCGAGTTGCCCCTGCTTCCTATCCCAGGGCTGGACCTCAACGCTGTTTTGCTGGACTTCGGCGGTGCTTCGTTTTCCGTTCTGGCAGGGAGGTACAGGAAAACAGGTAGAGCAGAACGAAAAAGCAAAACGACAACAAGACGAACACACAACGTCTAGGTCCACCCCTGTCCTATCCCTCCTGTGGGCCCCGGGGGCCCGCAGAAGTCTTGGGGGCCTCGCCGAGGCCGTGGACGAGCGTGCGCACGTGCGGTCAGGGCCTTCGGCTCAGTCAGCGCTTCGCGCCGCCGGGTCCGGCCCACCACGCCTCGAAGCTGCAGTGGGGGCCCATGCCGAGAAACACCCTGTTTGCTTCCAGGGTGCCCCGGGCTTCTTGGCTTTCGATGGCTTTGCGATGGCAGGCGTGGCGTTCTCTCACCAAAAAACAGTGGACGTCCTGGAATCTCAGGGTGGGGTTTCTTGTGGAAGGCTTCCTGTGGTCGGACCCCTGCTGCAGGCGCTGTCCACTTCCCGGTCCCCAAGCGTCCATGTCCCGAGCTGTTCCCAGCCTCCCTCCCCGCGGAGCGGAGCGACACGCTGTCCGCTCGCAAGGCATCGCGTGTCGCCGGGGCCGCTGCGGCGACACGCCATGCAACAGCTTCTGACCGTTTATCTAGATCTGTCCTCGGGCGCCCTCATCGGGGGTGGGGGGCGAACATACCCCCTCAGTGGGACCATGCTCTCTGACGCGACTGCGAGTGAGGTGACCGTCGGCGCTTCCGAAAGGCTTGGCATCGACATCGCGCCGTCTTGCCTGAATGCGTTTCGGTTGCATCTCTTGGGGGGTCAATTTCGGCATCGGCGCTAGTATGCCCGTGGCTGGAATCCGTCCCAATCAAGAGTGGTTTCGCTGAGTTCCGTTTGATCTAGCGTCATCCATCTCCATTAATCCTGGGCCCAATGTGGCTTGAACCCGCTTCATGCCATTTTACTCCAGCGTGGTGGCCTCTGCCCACGAAGACCTTCACGGAGTGGCCTCCCATTTGTATCCCGCCCTTTCCCCGTGTGTGTGTGTGTGTGCCCTCCTCCCCTCCCCGCTGCTTCTGTCCGCTCCTCTCCTCTTCCTCCTCCTCCTCCTCGTCCTCCTCCTCCTCCCTCTCCATTCCTCCTCCTTATGAATCGCACATCCTGCTCGCACCCCGAGACGTGCCGGCAGGACGGGCTGGGCCTTCCGCGTGAGACTCCCCCACGAGTTGTGATCCTAAAGCTTATTCGGATTCGCAGGCAGCTTCACGGATGGAGGTCGGGTTGTTATTCAAAAGAAGGCTCTCGCTTCCGCGCCGCGCACATCCGTTTGAGCAATTTTTTCCAGGACTTCACGGCTGGAGGGCGGCTCCTTTGCAACATGTGGTGTTCGCTGCTGCGCCGCGCACATTCGTTTTAGAAGTGTGCGCGGGTTTGCACATAGTGGTTCTCGCTGCTGCGCCGTGCACATCCGTTGTAGACGTGTGCGCGGGTTTTCACATAGTGGTTCTTCTATGAGCGCCGCACATTCGTCTGGCAGTTTACGAGAGATTCACGGATGGAGGGCGGGCGGTTTTCAAACATGTGGTTCTCGCCCCAGCGCCGACCGCATTCGGTCTGACAGCTTGCAAGAGCTTCAGGGCTGTAGGGTGGTTCCTTGCCAACATCTGTTTCTTTCTTCCGCGCCGCGCACTTTAGTTTTAAACGTTTGCGCGTCACGGACGGAAGGCGGGCGGTTTTCAACATGTGGTTCTCGCCTCAGCGCTTCGCACATTCGTTTTGCAAGGGCGTGGGGTTTTCATGCATGGAGGGCGGGCGTTTTTTTTGAAAATGTGGTTCTTGCGTTAGCGTCGCGCCCATCCGCCTCAACAAATCGCACGAGCTTCACGAATGTGGCTCTCGCCTTAGCGCCGCGCGTATTCTGTCTAAGAGCTTCAACGAGAAAACTTGTGCACTGGCGCAATGAAGGGCTGTCGAGGAACAGCTGTCACGTTGATTCGCGGCGTTGGAGTCCCATGAGAGGCGTTCTGGCGCGATTCGGGATCGCCAGGACGCGTTAATACTCATGTTGATGCGCTGCGATGAAGAAGTGCTAGCAGTGGTGTTCTGATGCGGCTCACTATTTCCAAACGGGTTTCCTTCAACGGGGCATTCTCGAAATAACATGAGATCTCGTAGGGGACTATGAAGAAGGTACTCGGAAGGAGGGTTTATTGCAACATCGTTGGTGGGTCTTGGGTTTGCACTTGTCCTCCTCCTCCTCCTCCTCCTCCTCCTGCGTCTCCTCCTCCTCGTCCTCCTCGTCCTCCTTGTCCTCCCAGCCTCCATCCATCTTTCCCCAGACTGTGCTTGCATTTCGGATTGCTTTGTTGTTCTAAGGGGCCGGGCCGTTTCTTCAGTGTTGCAGCTATGTGGCCGCCGTCGCCTCCTCGTTGCCGCCTCGTCGCCGCCCGTCGTGTGGGCCGCGTCTTCGGTCAGGCGTCTATCTGGCTGCCGTCGCCGCCCTGTCGCTGCCACGTCGCCGCCCCGCGTCCGGGCATGTCTGTCGGTCTGGCGGCTGTGTGGCCGCCGTCGCCGCCCCGTCGCTGCTGCGTCGCCGCCCTGAATTGAACAGCACAGATTGCACCGCATGGGTTACACCACAAAGATTACACCGCATGGATTGCATCACATAGTTTGCACCATACAGCTTGCACAACATAGATTGCGAACCGCATGGGTTGCACTTCGTGGACGGCACAGCATATATTGCACCCTGTAGATAAAACCACATCTGTTGTACCACGTAGGTTTAGCCATACAGACCGCACAACATACATTCGGAAACAATAAACGGAGCTTGGAATGCAGACCTGCCCGAAGCGCCCCCCACGGTGGACCCCCGCCCTTCGTGCGCGGTGAACATGTCAAAGTCCTGCAGGTCGAGGTCAACAGTTCAGGGTGCTCGGGTCTCGTGGGGGTCGACATTTCAGGGTTGGTTTGGTCGGGGTCCACAGTTGAGCCCCCTTGCGCGGGTCTATGCTTTGGGGCCTTTTTGGCGGCGCTACAGTCGCGGCGGGAGAGGGGCTGCTGGCCTCTCGCTGGGTACAATGCACCATGACTATATATATATATATATATATATATATATATATGTGTATATACAGCACCACATCGAGTGCATTATTCCGATTTTCCTTTCTAAAAGAAGAATAGACTCTACCCCCCCCCGGAGTTGACGATCCGCCTTGGGGTATTGTGATTTCGTTTTTATTCTGCACGCTCGTCCATCCTAAGTATGAATTCGTACTATCCCTGCCATGCCGGTATCGCTCACCCCGCCATGCCCTGCAACAAATGATATGCGCGCGCACTCGTTTATCAAAAATCATAAGCTTCCCACAATCCCTTGCAAACAAACGGGACGAAGTCCACACGAGCACGTCGTCGCGCGCGCATGCCGAAATCTTTCAAAAACCTTTGGTTTCGGAAGGTTTGTAAAATCGAACGTCTCAAACACATACAAAAACACAGGGTTCCGCAACACGGATTTTCTAAAAAAGCTTACGCGCGCTCTTGCACAATCTTAAGAAAACCATCGGTTCCCCAACATTTTCAGAATATTCTACCAAACGGGGTTCGCGCGCGCATGTCGAAAGCGTTCATACGCCCTTGCGCGCGTGCCGTCGCGATAGTCCTCTGCAACAGACGGGACGAAGTGCACGCGCGCGCGTCGTCGCGCGCGCATGCGTGCCGAAATCCTTCAACAACCTTCGGTTTCGGAAGGGTTTCAAAATCGAGTGTCCAAAAAACAAACAACAAATGGTTTCGCAACACGGGTTTTCAACAACAGCGAGAGCGCGCGCTCTTGCGTCGTCGTCGTCGTCGCCGTCCTCCCTTCTCCCTCGTCGTCGTCGTCTCCTGTCTTTCCTCGTCGTCGTCGTCGTCCTCTTTGGCGTCGTCGTCGTTTCCGTCGTCGTTGTGGCCGTGGTCGTCCCTCCTCCCTCGTCTTCGTCGTCGTCCGTCGTCCGCGTCTCGTCGTCGTCCCTCCTACTTCGTCGCCGCCGTCGTGGTCGTCGTCGTCGTCGTTGTCGCCGTCCTTCCTCCTCCTTCGTCGTTGTCGCCGTCGTCGTCCTCCCTCCTCCCTCGTCATCGTCGTGTTCGTTGGCGACGTCGTCGTCGTCGTCGTCGGCTTCGGCGTCGTCGTCGCCGTCGTCGTCGGCGTCGTCGTCGGCGTCGTCGTCGTCGGCGTCGTCATCGTCGTCGTCGTCGGTGTCGTCGTCGTTGTCGTCGTTGTCGTCGTCGAAGTCGTCGGAGTCGTCGTCGGTGTCGTCGTAGTCGTCGTTGGCGTCGTCGTCGTTGTCGCTGTCGTTGTCGGCGTTGGTGTCGTGCCATGTGTTACCTACCGTCACGATCGTAGGAGGTCTTGCGACCAAGTTGCGGGTGGGAGGGTGGGATGTTTGCACGAGCAGTGGAGAGGATAGCTTCAAGACAGTCCAAGTGAATTGCACCACATAGCTTGCACAACATATATTGAAGCGCGTCGATAGCATCACACGGATTGCACAAGGAGTATGGCACCACACAGAGTGCGTGACACATATTGCGCCGCATAGGTTGCACCACATAGCTTGCACCACATGTATTGAACAACTTACATTGCATCCTATATCCGTAAGGGCTTCGCCCCCTGCCGCTGGCGCCCTCCATATCATGATGGGATATATCAAGGTCGCGTCGGTGCGTCTCGGTGCTGCCTTGGCGCATCTGGGAACATCATGCGGGGGCGGATAGGAATCATCAGCACATATTGAGACGTTGGCGTCATAGTGGCTTTCGGCCCATCCCGCGTTGTGGGTCTGAGGCCTCTTGTATATGTGTTGGGGTGTCGTGGGGAGCTGATGAGGTATCATTTCGATATTTTGGGGGCCTCTCGGGCGCGTCTTGGGCGCCTCTTGGGGCCTCTTGCGGCCTCTTGGCGGCCTCTTGTGGCCTCCTGGGGTCTCGGGCACAACTATGACATGTTCGATTCGTGGTCCCCTGCTTGGGCCACTCTTGGGGCCGTCTAGGGGCGCTCATGGGCCGTCGAGAGCGCTTCTTTTGCCATCTTGGAGCCCTCTTTGTTCGTCTTGGGGCCCTCTTGGAGGCCTCTTGGACTGTCTTGGGGCAGACTTGAGAGCTTCTTGAACTGCCTTGGAGCGTCGGAAAGCTGAAAATATTAGAAGGCCGAAATCTTTCAACAACCTTCGTAAAATAGACCATGTTGGCCTCTTGGGGCTCTCTCGGGAGGCCTCTTGGATCGCTCTTGGCGCCTCTTGGGGCCCTCTGGGGCCGTCTTGGGAACATCTTCTGGCATCTTGGAGCACTCTTGGCCTCGGCAATGCAAATATGGCGTACCTTCCAAATGGATTTACACAAGTTGATGGCCCCGAGGACGCGACTATCGGGTATCTTACGAAGGATTATGGTCCGGGGCGCGGATCTCAGGTATTTTCACATGTCCCACGCCCCCCCGTAAATTCAGAGAGCGCGATCCGGGCGTGCTAATCATGTCGTTTGGGGCTCTCCCCTCTCGCGCGGTCTTCAACAATTTACAGTCGGACGCAGAAAGCAGGACTGCAACATTGCAGACTTGAAGCTGCAGCTGATGCAGGGAGCAGCACACTTCGGCCTCCAGCCTGGTGGCCCCAGAAGGGGGCTGGCGGATATTGCACAACATATATTGTTTCTCGGGAAGAGGGCGGGTCGTTTACTAAATGTGGTTATTGTATTTGCGCCGCGCATTTTCGTCCTAGAGTTTGCAAGCACTTCACGGATGGATGGTGGCTCCTTTTCAAAAAGCGGCTCTTTCCTAAGCGTCGTGCGCATGCGTCCGAACAGTTCACAGCCGTTTCAAGGATATTTCCGGCTGGCGCACTTGAAATTGTGTTTTAGCACGATGTAGGACTGTCACGGATCAACAGTCACCTTGACTCGTGGTTTTGACGTCCCAGCGATTTTGTTCTGGCACGGTTCAGGATTTTCAGACGATTGTCTTCCAGAGAGGCACCTCCTTCAGTGAAAACTAAATATTGTAGGGACCTGTGAAGAGGGATCTTGGAGGAAAGGCTTGCTGCAACGCCGTTGATGAGTCTTGGGTTTGCACTAGTCCGCCTCCTTCTTCTCCTCCTCCTCCTCCTCCTCCTCCTCCTTCTCTTCTCCGCCTCCTCATCTTCCTTCTCTCCGCCTCCTTGGCCTCCTCCTCCTCCTCCTCCTCCTCGTCCTCTCAGCCTCCTCCTCCTCCTCCTCCTTCTCCTCCTCCTCATCCTCCTCCTCCACCTCTCAGGCTCCTGCCCCCCCTTCTCCCCGCCCTCGCCCGCTGTGCTCCTTGCACCTCTCCCCTCCCCCGCTGCCCCTGCCCCCCCCCCTTCCCCGCCGCCCCCTCGAGTCCGCCCTGCCGCCGCGCGCCCGCTTCTGCGGCCCCCCCACGGCGCCCAGGGCTGCCCTCCCGGGCCACGGCCATCAAGGGCGCCCAGGTCCGACCCGCCACCCGCCCGGCGCGACCATGGTGACCCAGACCCCCCTCGCGCCGTGGAGAAGGTCACGACGGGAGGCGTCTCGCTACCTGCGGCCTCTGGGGGCCCCGCCAGGGCCCCGGGGACCGTCCGGGAATGACTCGGGCTGGGCGGCTGGCCCCGACAACTGCAGGGGCCAGGACCTCTGCACGCCGTGGAAAGATCACGATGTCAGGGGTCTGGGGGCTCCGAGTGGCACGGGTTCGGGTTGCGCGCGGTCGAGCAGTGGCGAAGCGTCCTGGCTTGCCCAGAGGCGCATGATTAAATATTGTTATACGAACCATTTGTGGTTTGCACGATGTGCTTGCATAATATGTCTTGCTGGGGCTGTCTTGTTCTAACAAGTCGGGGTTATGTTCTAAGAACTTTCTTATGATGTTTCGAACATTTTCCGCGTTCTTAGAAAAGGACTACCCGGACGGTCGGTCCCAACTCAACGCAGACGGCCCTTCCCCCAGGTGGTTCCAGCTGGCTTTCGCAGGCCCCTCGAGCAGCCCCGGCAGGCCTCAGCAGCACCTCCGAGTGGTCTGGGGCGGCCTCGACAACCTGGCGCCGCCTCCCTCGGCGCCTCTGGGGCGTGCCGAGCCCCGGGGCCGCGGTGTTGAAACTGCCTTGGGCTACTCAGGGGGGGGTCCTGCTGAGGCCACCTGGGGCTACTCTTAAGTCGGGCATGTCCCTCTACAGGAGGAGTATTTAAAAATAGTTGTGAGTTATTATACAGGAGTGCGCATAGCGTTTAGCCATATGAGCCACATGCGCATCTCCGCACAGACACATCCCCACAAAACGGCCACGAACGGGACCATGAAAATACCCCTGGCGGCTCCCCTTGGGGGTGCTGCAACCAGCGCCTCGCCTGAGACATCATCAAAAACAGCTATGATAGCCAAGGATGTTGAGACAGGACACAGGCCAACCGCTTGAGGCATCCCCACAAATTGCTGCGAACGGGAACGTGAAAACACCCCTGGCGGCTCCCCTTGGGGGTGCTGAAACCACCGCCCCGCCTGAGACATCCTCCGAATCTGCTCTGATAATCAAGGATGTTGAGACAGGACACAGGCAAACCGCTTGAGGCATCCCCACAAAATTGCTGCGAACGGGAACGTGAAAACACTCCTGGCGGCTCCCCCTGGGGGTGCTGAAACCAGCGCCCCGCCTGAGACATCCTCCGAATCTGCTTTGGTAGCCAAGGATGTTGAGACAGAGAACAGGCAAACCGCTTGAGACATCCCAACAACATTGCTGCGAACGGGACCGTGAAAACACCCCTGGCGGCTCCCCCTGAGGGTGCTAAAACCAGCGCCCCGCCTGAGACATCCTCAACAGCTGCTCTGCTAGCCAAGGATGTCGAGACAGAAAACAGGCAAACCGCCTGAGACATCCCCACAAAATTGTTGCGAGCGAGACCGTGAAAACACCCCTGGCGGCTCCCATTGGATATGCTGAAACCATCTTCCCGCCTGAGACATCCTGACAATATGCTGTGTGTTGAGTAAGTCAGACAATGAGTATGAGTATGAGTGAGTCTCAGCACTCGTAAGTCCGAGTATGAGTGAGTCTAAGTATGAGTAGGTCTGAGTATTAGCATGTTTTTGTATGAGTAAGTCTTGGTATGATTATATATGAGCATGAGCAAGTCCAAGTGGGAGGAAACGAGCTGTACCGCAAAGAATATACACGAGTACGAGTGGGAGTCGGTATGACTATGACTGGGTACGGATTTGAGTGGGTGTGAGCTTATTGTGTCATGAAGAAGTCTGAATATGATTAGGTCTGGGTATGAGTAAGTCTGCGCATGAGTAAGTCTGGGTATGAGGAGGAGGAGAAGAAGAGGAGGAAGGAGTAGGAGGCGTCTAAGTAATAACAAGAACCCCTATCTTAGGATATGGGGGAAAATAGTCGTGGGTCGATGTGTCGATCATTGTTTGACTATGTTTGGGCATGTTTCTGCTATTTTGATTTTTGTCGCCCAAAATCCGCCTGTAGGAAGACATGCCCGACCTAAGACTGCTCGGGGGGCCTGTTGAGGCCAGCCGGGACTACCTGAGGGATGTTGTCTGTATGCAATTTGTAGCCTTACCAGTAACCCGAAATCGTTACGGAAGGGGTGGGGACAACAGACCAGCAGCAGTTCCCGCCCACTCTGACCAACCGCCGTCGGTATCGCCGCGGGCGGTGTCCACTTGAGACATTGAGTCGTCTGCTCAACAGCGGCCGCTGTCGGATTTGGACAGCACTTGCTGTTGGACATCGTGCCCAATCCTTTCCGCATCCGTTTCGGGCGTGCCATTCCGCGTACAGATCGGTGGCAACGCCATGGGGTGGGTCGCTGCTGAGGGCCGAGGGCGTTCGCCAGCCCTCTCCTGAGGATCGAGGCCCGAGGGTCAGGAGGGTCGAGGAGACGCTGGTCGATGCTGAGCGGCGCGGAAGGGCGCGGGGGGTGCCCACCAGGCCCGAAGACGAGTCGACCAAGAGGTCCACTCGTTGAGCAGACGACTGTTGTCTCAATCGCTTTCGCTCCTTGAGAGTCGACCAAGAGGTCCACGCGGGCTTGTCGGATCTGCGCTGGAACCCCCTGGCGGCTTCTCCGGCGCCGCCCCCCGGTGCTCTCCGCGCGCCCAGGCTGGTGGGCCCGGCGCCGATCGAAGAATTCAGCGACGCTCGGACATTCGAACATTTTGGGTGTCGCCCATTCTTCTTTCTTCTGCCAGCGGCTCGCGGGTTCGGCCCCCTCCCCCCCTCTATAGTTCGGTCGCAAATCATGGGAGCCTTGTGTACCCTTGTAGTGTTGTCTCTAGCGTCGACTAGCATCGATTAGCGTCTGGGAGTCGATGAGATAGCGCCGATGTAGCGTCGGCTCGCGTCGACTAGCGTCCAGCGTCTATTTAGCGCCGATTCAACGTCAATTAGCGCCGACAAGCGGACTAGCGTCGATTAGCGTCGATTCGCAAGAGTCGACGAGATTGGTATGGGAGGCTCCCATATGAGTTGCCACCGAACTATTATATCCCTTTCCCTGTCTATGTCTCTTGATTGACTCAATCGCTTCGCTTCTTCCGCTGGCCCGTACTGTGCCATCGCAGGCGTTTGCGTGTGCGTGGGTGGCCTCTTGGGGCCGCTTGGGGGCATCTTTTTGGGCATCGTCTTGGGCCTCTCGGGGGCTTGGTGAGGCCTCCCGCAAGCCCTCCAGGGGCTCTCTTGGCGACCTCTTGGAGCGTCCTGCGGGCCTCTTGGCGGAAGGCTCGAATTGGTGGTTCGTGTTGCCTCTCTTGGGGCCGTCCTGGGGCCCTCTTGTGCGATCTTGGGCGCCTCTGTCCTCTGGGGCCGTTATGGGGCTCTTTTGGACTGTCTTGGGGCCCTCTTAGGGGCCTCTCTGGGGCCGTCTTGGAGCGATCTTGGGAGCCTCTGGGAGCACCAGAAGCCCGAAACACGTAACATCAATTGTTTTGCTTCTTTTGGTCATCTGTGGGGTTCTCTTGGAGCGCCCTTGGGGCTTCTCTGGGGCCTGTTGGGCCGTCTTGGGGCCATTGTGGGCGTCTTGGAGCGCTCTTGGGCTGTGATTCCGATTCGCGTGCCCTTTGGGATTCCGATTCGCCTGCCCTTTTGGAGTTGCCTTGAGGTTCCTTGGACATGCATCTCGGGCGATCTGGAGGGCCCCGAAAACCACCTCCAGGAGTTCCAGCATCCTTGTGCGGACCTTGCCAGGACTTTGCCGTTACCTTGCCGCGAGTCGGCCGGGGTATTTTTCGTCTGGGGGCCCCCTGGGGCCACCCCGCGCGCGCGCGAATTTGATTCTACAAGTACTCTGTGAGCCAGTTACCGGAGATATTGGCACGCCTTTGGCCCGTTGGGCCAGCGAATTGCTCCGTCTCTTTATTCATTTTTTTGTGTGTGTTTTTCCCTTCTCTCTCTCTCTCTCTCCCTCTCCTTCCCCACGACTCTCTCTCTCTCTCTCTCTGTCCCTCTCTCTCTCCCTCTCTCTCTCTTCCCGTGTGTATATATACATACAACTATATATATAGATATGTATATATATAAGTAGATGGGTACATCTATATATATATGTATATGTCGGCGGTGCCCCGTGGCACGACCCCCCCCCCAGTAACGGGGGGTCCCGTGCAGGCCCCACCGGGTGCCGCCGACGGCTCAGAGACCCCCCCCCCGTCCCTTTACCGGGGGTTTCGTGCAGGCCGCACTGCAGGGGGGGGGGGGCTTCGACCTGGACCCCCCCCTCCCCCCTGTGGGAGTGCGGGGGTGGGAGTGGGGGTCGGAGGGTGGGGCGGGGGTGCGGGTGGAGTGGGGCGGGGGGGAAGGAGGAGGAGGAGGAGGAGGAGGACGAGGAGGAGCAGGAGAGTAGGAGGAGGAGGAGGAGGAGGAGGAGGAGGAGGAGGAGGAGGAGGAGGAGGAACTGGCAGCGCTGTTGTCGACATGGCTGGGCACGTGGCAACAGGAGGCAGCTGCAACTCCCGGGTGGGCCACCTGCCCTGGACGACGTTCCGAGCCTCCTGGGAAGGGTAGAGGGAGCGGCCGCGTACAGAAGAGCGGTGCCGCCTTGTCCCGGCACGTCCTGGGAGCGGCTAAGTACGCATCCGGGTGGAGGTTCGTGCTTGCCGGGGGTCTCGTGCCGGCTACTGGCGGGTTTCGTGCATGCCGCGGGGGGGTTCGTGCCGGCTACCGGATGGTTTCGTGCTTACCGGGGGGGTTCGTGCCGGCTCGTACTGGCGGCGCCGCCGGCTCGAAATCCCCCAGATGGAGTTTACCGGCGGGGGGTTCGCTCCGCACGGGGCACCGCCATAGATGTATGTGCACATACACGTTTAAGCACATGATACTTTTGTTTCTAGCATGTCTCTCGTTCTCTCCCTCTCTCCTCCCTCTGTCGACACAGACGACGCCGTCGATGACGAGAACACGCCGCTGCACCAGCACGCTGGCCTACCCGCGCACAACCCCCGCGGAGGCGCAGATTCGACAGACCCCGCTCTGTCGACCTCGACGTCATCACTTCGTCCCACCCCCCTCCTCCCCTCACCCTGCTTTCGCCGGGCCGCCCCGACCCCCCCCCCAGCGGCTCGCTGAGGAGGACGACGTGGACGACCACGACGACGCGAGGCAGCTGCGCCAGCATGGTCTTCTCCTTGGGGCACCAGCTCGTGGGATCACACGCGCAGCCGACACGCGCGGCCTCGGGACGCCCCCGACATCAGCCCCTGCGGCTGGCTCACCTCGCAGGTGCCGTCGCGCGCGCTTGAGTCGGGCGCGTCCCTCTACAGGAGGAAAACTCCAAAGGAATATCACAAACAATACCGAGGCGTTCTTTGTTGGAACTATCCTAGGCTATTTTTTCTTTTGAAAAAAATGGTCCAGACTATGTTAAGGAGGACATGTCCGACCAAAGCGTACGCCGTAAGCAGTCCACGCGGCCTCGTGCGGCCCCCCGGCGGCCCTCCGCGGCCTTCCAGGGCGCTGCGCGGCCTCCGCGCCCTCCCTCGTGTGCGCTGGCCGCCCGCACGGCCCACTGCACTCTGACTCCCGCCGTTCGTCCCGCGCGCGGGGGTGGAGGAGGAGGAGGGATGATGCATGGGAGAGAAGAGGAGGGACCAGGTGGAGCAGGAGGAGGAGGAGGGATCGGGACCGGGATCGGGCTCGTGGAGTTCGGGCGTCTACTCGATGATTCGCTTGCGAACAATTGAGGCCTGCCCTGCGGGCGGCCTCCTGCTCTCGGACAGGGCTGCAGTGCCACTGTAGGGGCAACCCCCATCTGCACGCAGCCGTGGGGGACCGATGAGTTACGCGAATTCTCAGGCTCCCGACGAGTGGCGAGGACGCGAGGAAACGAACGACAGGGGACGGCGGCGGCAGCGGCGACCAGGAGCGACGACGACACGCCCGAGGGCGGTGGGGGGGGGAGGAGCCCGAGGGCGGAGGACTACAGGGTTAGGAGCCGCTGAGCATTCACACGAGTACAAGCAAGTTGCCCCCCCCCCCCCCCCCCCCCATGTGTACTCCCACGACCCCGACCTCTACTCCTCCCTCCTCGGCCTCGTGAGGAGGAGGAGGTGGAGTAGGAGGAGCAGGAGGAGGAGAGGGGGCAGGGCGGGAGGGCGGGGAGGAGGAAAACTGACGGAGGGATGGAGGGATGGAGGAGGAAGGGTGGATGGAGGGATAGAGAAGGAGGAGGAGGGGGAGGAGGAGGAGGAGAGGAGGAGCAGGAGGAGGAGGAGGAGGAGGAGAGGAGGAGGGAGGAGGAGGAGGGAGGAGGAGGAGGAGGAACGGAGGAGGAAGACGAAGAGAAGGGGGAGGAGCAGCAGCAGCAGCAGCAGCAGGAAAAGTGGAGGAGAGGAAATCTCATCTCCTCCACCCTGCCCCTGGCCCCCCCCCCCCCCAGCCCTCCCCCCCCAGGCCGCCGTCGCCAGCGCCAAGAAGGCGGTGGAGGAGGCCAAGGCCGCGACGGCGGAGGCGCCGCCCCGATCGCGTCGGGGGGGCGATGGTGCCCCCTCCCCCCCCCCAGGCGATTCTCTGCGACCACGCGAGGGGGGGCTCGTTGTCCTCCTCCTCCTCTTCTTCCACCTCCTCCTCCTCCTCCTCCTCCCTTCTCCTCCTCCTTCTCCTCCTCCTCCTCCTCCTCCTCCTCCTTCTCCTCCTCCGCCTCCTCCTCCTCCCCCTTCTCCTCCTCCTCCTCCTCCTCCTCCTGCTCCTCCTCCTGCTCCTCCTCCTCCTCGTGAGAGGAGCGCGGAGCCTGGAGCGCGGAGCGCCGATGGGGGGGGGGGCGGAATGGAGGGGCAGGGGAGGGGCGGAAGGGTGGGCGGGGGGGGGGGGGGCAGGGGGAGGGGGCAGCGGGAGGGGGGCGCCAGGCAGGCGGAGCCGCGGGGCCCCGCCTTCCGCGGCAGAGTGCGCGCGCCCGCGCGCCGCAAACAGAGATCTGAATATGCTTGCCAGGAGGTGTCCACCTGAAACTGCCTTGTCCCCCTTTATGGCCCAAGGGACCCACAAAAGCTCTGGGGCACCGTATTGTACGGCCTTTAGAAGTCGATAGACCATGTGCCCACACAGCTTTTATAGCAACCTCTTTTTTCTTTCGCATGTCTGACGTGTCTACTGTAGTCCTCCTCTCTCGCTCCATTCATTCCTCCGTCCTCCTCGCTCTTGCCTCGTCCTTCCCCCTCCTCCCCCCTCCTCCGTCTTCCCCCTCCTCCTCCTCCTCCTCGTGGTCGTCCTCCTCCTGTTCCTTCTCCCTCTCCTCACTCAGCCTCCTCCTCCTCCTCCTCCTCCCTCCCTCCCTCCCTCCCTCTCTCCCTCCCTCCCTCCCTCCCTCCTCCCTCCCTCCCCTCCTCCTCCTCCTCCTCCTCCTCCCCTCCTCCTCCTCCTCCTCCTCCTCCTCCTCCTCCTCCTCCCCCTCCCCCTCCTCCTCTTCTCCTCCTCCTCCTCCTCCTCTCCCTCCTCCTCCTCCTCCTCCCTCCCTCCCTCCCTCCCTCCCTCCTCCCTCCTCCCTCCTCCCTCCTCCATCCTCCTGTCTCTTGCACCACCTCTCTTCCGCCTTTTCCCGCCTCCCCTCCCTCTGGCGATTGCAGATCCTCCGCGCACCGCTGCCATCTTGCGGCCCAGACGGGCCCACCAGCGAAACGGGCCTCGGCCGCGACGACAAGGAGGGACGAGCGAGGTTCCCAGACGTGCTTGGAGCTTCCTGGGCCTCTGGAGGGGAACCCCCAGGGAAGCTTCCGCCGACACTGGAGATTTCGAAGACGTGCACGGGAGGTGGGAGGAGGACGGTGATGGAGGAGTAGGAGGAAGAATGGGGGATTTGATCGGGAGTGGGTGGGAGGCGGAGGAGGAGGATCAGAAGGAGGAGGAAGAGGAGGAGTAGGAGGAGGACAAGAGAGGAGGAGCGAGGAGGAAGAGGAGGATGAGGAGGCCCATCATCGGAGGTTGCCACGGGCGGTGAGTTTTGGAGGGTTGTCGAACGTTTTCCCTCATGTTCCCTCTCGGCGGGGGAGTGGGAGGGGATAGGGGGAGGAGGAGGCCTGGTGGTCTAGGGTGTCCCAGGGGGCTCTGCGGGACCCGAGGCGATGGGGACCTGGGAGAAGGAGGGGGATACGAAGCAGCGGGAGGATAAGGGACAAGGGAGGAAGAGGGAGCGTGTCCATGGCACGATGCACCCCGAGGGGTGTATCGAGGCTGTCCTCGGTGAACAGCTGGTTTTGTCGTCCGCGGGCGGCAGCACATTCACAACACACAACACACATCACACAACACAAGGCACGCGCACGACACAGACGCACGCACGCACGCACGCACGCACGCACGCACACACACACAGACACACCACACATTGGCAAACACATACACACACCACACATAAACACACACACACACGCGCGCGCACACACAACCACAATCACACACAACCACACACACACACGCACCCACACACAAAACACAACACACACAACACACACAACACACACACCACACACACACACGCACGCAACACACAACACACACACACACACACATCTTGGCGTCGCAGCCACGCGCGCAGCGGCGTGGCGGAAAATGCCTGGCGAAGAGACGCGCGCGGCCACACGCACACAGCAGGGCCGCCAGCAGAGTCTCCTCCCGCAGCCTCCGCTTGTAGCCTCCGCTTGTAGCCTCCGCTGGGGGACATTATTGTCGGCAGCGCCCACACGGGGGTCTCTCGAGGGGGCTGGGCTTCTCATAGGGCGGGGGAGTTCGCCGGCAGGGGCCTTCTCAGGAATCCCGGGAGGTTTCTGAGACAAATGCTCAGAAGCCATGTGGTTTTCTCAGAAGCCATTTTGCCTTCTTCGAGGCCCTGTGTCTTCGATGCAGGAGCTGGGTATCCTTCATGCAGTGGTGGGCGTCCCACCATCTGACGGTGTTGCCGCGACCTGTGGCCTCGTGGCTCCTCGCGGTCGTAAGATGCCCTCGCTGTTCCCTGGTAGCTTGCCCGTGCGCGTACGTCAGGAGGTCACGAATCTGTTATGGCCCGTGGTGTTCTTTACGGCCCCTTGGCCCATTAAGCGGCGGTTGCTTTTTTGCCGTCGCCCTTGAGCCTCTTGGCCTCCTGCGGCCCCAGTGTGCTTGGCACATGTGGACCTGTCACGGCCCCAGAGTTCCGTGGCTCCTCGTGGCCTCGGTACTCTGCGACCCGTTGTTCTGCCCCCCGCGGCCCTTTGGAAGCTTGGCGTGGCCCTTGTGGCGGTGAGCAGCTAGGATTTTAACGTTGTTTCCGTTTTCCGTGTGACTCATGGTGTCCTGTCCCGGCCTAGAATTCCGGTTCAAGTCCGTGCGACAGGGCGAGCATTCTGCGCCCGCTCCTGCCATGGAGGGCAAGGGCAAGGACAAGGGCAAGGACAAGGACAAGGGCAAGGACAAGGGCAAGGGCAAGGACAACCCGCACGCCAACCACTTCTACATAGACGGGAAGGTATATGACTTTTCTGAGTGGAAGTGGATCCATCCTGGCGGATTTGCATTCTTTAACCAGTCGGCTCAGCGTGATATCTCCGCTGCCGTTCACTCGTACCACAAGGATCCCGACAGGATACTCCCGATATTGGACAAGTACGAGGCGAAGCTTGAAGACGGCAAAGATCCACGCGATATCTTGCTGAAGGGTATGAACGTGCCAGAGTTCATCGTCCCGCCGGACTTCGACGCCCGCAGGGACGTGCCCATCTACGACTGGGACAAGCCTTTCATGAAGTCCCTCAGGAAAAAGATCCTGGCTCCAGACATGCAGCGGAAGATTAAGAATGCCGATTACGCTTTCGACGTCGCAGCCGCATGCATAACAGTGTTCCACCTCTTCATCTGCTGGGTCGCAGTGTACTGCGACATCCTTCCAGGCTGGCTTCTGGTTGTCCTCCAGGTTGTGACGAGAACCTCGCTCGCAGGGGTGGGCCACTATGGCTGCCATCGGGCCAAGACTGGCCTGGCCTTTGACATCAACGTGCTATCCAGCTGCCTGCGGCAAGGTTCGCCACCGTGCCAGCGCAGCTCTTTGCGTGCCAACGCTTCGAGCAGCGTCCGGAAGGCCGCAACATGTGACACTCCTCGTTTCGATTCCTTCCTTGAGAGGCTCTCACCGGGCGTACCTGGGCCCTCTAGGGGCCCTCTTAGTCGGATTCGGGCTAGTGGGTCCGTTGCAAAGGGGGTCTCAAACATGTGCGCAATAGTTCGTGCAATCGTTCGCGCGGGATACGCACATCGTACAGTATCAGCACGTGGCTGCCACGCGCCATGCGTCACAGGATGAACTAACTATTGCATGTTGTTTTTGCGACCCCATTACGAAAGACCCCCTTTGCCCGGAACCAGCTTAGGCTGTCTTGGGGCCTTCTCGGACGGTCTGGGAGTCTCGTGGTCTTGCCTGTGGACATTCCTGGTGATCTTCTGGCCCTGCTGAGCTGTCCTGGGCCCCTCTTGGGCTGTCTTGGGGCCTTCCACTTGGGCGCTCCGAGACAGTCTTGGGGTCCCATTTGGGCCCTCATTGGGCGTTTGGTGCGTCTCGGGCAGGCTTGGAATTATCTTGAACGGAGAATCCCGGATCTCTCAAAACTATTAGAAATTCCATCTGAGTTTGTGTGGCCTTGCTTCCGTGAAAGCCCTCTTGACGTTCCCCTTCGGTGTCTTGGTCTCTTCTTGTGGCCCCCATTTGGAGCCTTTTGGGATCTTCTTTGTATGCCGTTGGGTAAGTACAGTGGGGGCCCATGCCAAGAAACACCCTCCTTGCCTCTAGGGTGCCCTCGGTTTCTTGGGTGTCGACGGTTCCGCCATGGAAAGCGTGACGCTCTCATACCAAACATCGATGGACGTCCTGGGGTCTCAGAGTTGGGTTTCTTGTGGAAGGTTTCTTGTGGTCGGGTCCCTACTGTCGATATTTCTGTGCTCACAGATCCCAATATACTTCAAGCGCCTTCCTACTTCCAGAATCGATCTGTTGTCGTTGTTCGTTGCTTTTCCCTAGGGCGGGCCCGAGCCCAAGCTACTGCATCCGCCTCCCTGCTTCATGTTTCAACCTACTTCTTCCGACTGGCGGGCAGAAGGGTTTTGGGGCACTTGGTAGCGGGGAGGCAACAAACGGGGGGGTGACCGGGACCCAGCATCCAAATTGCCATCGCGGGCCCAATATGTGCTGGGAATACGGTACACGTTTCTCCCCCTCCTGTCATGCCCCCCACCCGTTAACGAACGCCCCAGATTCGGACAGACATGCTAAACAGCATTTGACATTATACTACGCTGCAGCGTGTTAGGGGGCGCGGTGGCGGATTTGACATCCAGTATGTCGGTGCGAGTGCAGTTCTGACCGACGGTCACGTTATGGTCCACCATATGTACACCGAGACTCCGGCGGACGTGAAGCGGACGGTCTTCAATTTCATGCTCACCCTCCCAAGGTTGTTGCGCGTGCCGCTCTTCACCCTCCAGAAGTTCGGTGAGTTCTTCACGGGCCACTACCTCCGCTTCTGTGCACTCTTCCCCTTCCTCGGTTTCCCCGCCGAGTTCACGAAGATCAGGCAGAACATGCGGTTTTACATGCTGGCGGAGTTTTTCTGGGCTGCATTGTGCTCCAAGCTGCACCTCTGGATCGCCCAATTCTTCTTCACCACCTGGGTTAACATGTTCCAGATTGTGGCCTCCCACGACTTCGAGGTGGTCCGGGAGCAGCAGGAGCTGTGTGACGAGAATCGATCCGCGGCCCTCACATGTACAGAACACTTGCGCTCACATGTGCTTTTGTTGCAGAGGGCGTTTTGGCAAGGGGCGGAAGAGGAGGGGGGACACTTCCGCACACCCTTTGGTCTGCGTGTGTGCGTTTACGATTTAAATATGTATACACACATAACTATATATAGATGTGTGTGTGTGTGCGTGTGTGTGTGCGCGTGTGTGTGTGTGTGTGTGTGTGTGTGTGTGTGTGTGTGTGTGTGTGTGTGTGTGGGGGGCGGGGGGGGGGGGGGGGGGCGTTTCTCGTTTATATATATATATAGCTATATATATATATATATATATGTGCGTGCGTGTGTGTGCGTGTGTGTGTGTGTGTGTGTGTGTGTGTGTGTGTGTGTGTGTGTGTGTGGGGGGTAGGCGTGTGTGTGTGAGCGTGTGAGTGAATGTGCGTGCTTGCGTGCGTGTACGTGTGTAAGTATTTGTGTGTGTGTACGTCTATAAGTGTGTGTGTGTGTTGTGTATGTATCAGTGTGCGTGTGTGCGTGTGTGTGTGCGTGTGAGAGAGAGAGAGTGTGTGTGTGTGTGTGTGTCTGTGTGTGTGTGCGTGGTGGGGGGGTCCGGCTGCTCAGGAGTACAAGGGCCTGGACTGGGGCATCTTCCAAGTGCAGCACTCCCTCGACACGTACATCACGGGCCTCCCTTACGTGGACATCTTTCTCTCCGCGGGCCTGGGGTGCCACAGGACGCACCACGTGCTTCCCTATCAGAAGTCGGGCTTTGCGAACATCGTGTCCACCCCAGCGCTACAGGAGACCTGCAAGGAGTTCGGGGTGGAGTGGCAGCCGGCCCGCAACCTCCTGCTGGACCGCTTCTTCCCGCTCATGTGGTACTACCTGACAGCTCCAGCCCAGCTGCCTGCCGTGCCCGCGCCAGTTCTCGTGGGCGGCCACGGGCTGAGTGGTTTCGTGAAGGAGCATCTGCAGATCGAGCTGCTCACCAAGAGCGTCCGGGACGTGCTGCGCGGCTTCAGCGGCGCATCTATTTGAGGGGCCAGCGTTTGTTGGTGCCCAGCGCGTCGGACAGCCTCAGCCTCCCTCTTCGCGTCTTCTTTCGCACTAGGTCTCTGTACTCCCATTCATCTTGCTTCCGTCGCCGCCCTTAGCGTGCGTAAGACACGCTGGGATCGCCCTTTGGGTGTGTAGTCCTTGTGGCGATGCGTCGACTTGCGATCATTGGGCGCACGGGACAGCCGCGTCCAGCGTGGGTTATCTACAGGAGCCCACACGTACATGGCTTCGTCTTGTAGATTGAGTGGCTGGAGGCGATGTCCGACCTCGGCCGATCACTTAACTTTCCCCCCCAACCAGTGCTTGCACTTAGATGTTCTTGCTTGTGCTCCAAGAAATCAGCCCTGTCTACCGGCGGTGGGTAGTTGCATGTTGGGGTGGACGCCGATTTGGACGTAGGTTTGGACGTGGGGTGTGGACCTGGATCTGGACGCTGGTTCGGACGTGTGTTGGGCATCGGATTTGACGTGGGTGTGGACGTGGGCTTGAACGTATGTCTGGACTTCAGTTTGGACGTGGGCACGGACGTTCTTGTGTGTGTGTGACGCACGCAGGGCTACACAAATCGGGACCCATACACAGGACTCACACTCACACTCACCATCATTCTCAAACACATACACATACACACACACGCATGTGGATCCACACGCACGCACACACAAGCAAAGTCACAAGTACGCACACACGCGCACGCACGCACGCACGCACGCACGCACGCACACACAGACACACACACACATACGCACGTATGTACACACGCACACACACACGCACACAGACTGACACACGTACGCACACACACAAAGCACAGGCTTCCACACACAGTATTCTCCACACCCATAGTAATCCGCTCGCGCAGGGCGCCTCACGTGCTGCAAGCATTAAGAGCTAGGTGTCCACGCGTGGTTTCTCTAGACTCGTCATAGTGTGTTGTGAATGATGTTGCAGTTGAATCTGCAACGATGATTACTTGTTCAGGTCTGCTTAGGCATAACACGTGCAGCTGCATGTTGTCCCCAGTCATCCCTGCATCCGTACGTCATGACGCGCGCTTGCTATTGTTTTACATGGGCATGTATCTGTATGTTCGTTGCTGGCTTGCTTCACTGGGTTTGGTTCCCACACTCTTGCAGCATGTGGGTGGTCAAGTTTTTCTGTAAGGTGCCATCGACTGGAGCTTTTCGTAGGGAAGTAACTGCGCAAATATTCAGCGCTAGCGCTCTTCATCACTGTTGCTGTCTAGCGGGTTCTCGTTTGAGAAGTTTTTCGCACGTGCATCATAGCGGGCGTCTCGAGTCCTTTTTCTTGTGACCTCTGCACTGGCGTTGATCGCTTCTCCACGTTTCTGTCATTTGGGACCCAAGCTCTGTTGGGTTTGCAGCACCTTGCTCAGCTTGCGTACCGCTCAGGAGGTCAAGAAGGCGGTGAAGGCAGCTGAAGAGGACCGCAAGAAGCAGGTTGGCATGCGTGGGCTCTCGGAAAGAAGAACATAGATCTGCGGAGTACCGGAGAGAGGATATAGCAGATCGCAAGGTCGTAGCGCCTGTTGATTTCACGGTCACCCCATCCTATTGCCCACTGACCGAACGGTCGACTATCGGGTGATTTGCCGCTGATCCCGACGGAGGTCCCGACGATGTGACCGCGAGTGTTTTGCATTGGGTGTGTCGGGCAAGAACATGAGTGAGCCTGCTAGTCGCGATACCGTTGCTGGCAGTATCAGTTGACTTGCTTCTTCGGGCGCACTGGCCCCGTCCCCCTAAGGTGGTCGAATAGACACTCTTGCGGCCGTCGTCGTACCGCGTAACCAATGGCGCAGCCGAATGCGCAACCTCGGATTCACCTACAGCCTATGGCGCATCCCGTGGCGCAACCGCCACATCGCATCGCAGCCTGAGGCGCCGCCTGCAGTAGGGCGTGTGGTGCTAGGCTTAAGTCGGGCGTGCCCCTCTACAGAAGGAATATTCAAAAATGGTTCAAAGATAGTCTGGGGACTGTTTTTGGTGTATTTTTGTTACCATGTTTGAATATGTTTGCGACTGTCTCTAATTTTTCCTCGGAAATCGGCCTGTAGGGGGACAGGCCCGACCTAATGCTAGGCAGCCCCGACACCCCGACAGGCTTCGCCGTAGGTTGTGCCACTCTAGGTTGGGCCACAGGCTGCGCCACAGGCTTGACTGGATCCACTGCTGTTTGCGCCATGGGGGCGCAGGGCGCGGGGCACCATAGGTTTCGCCACGGACCCCGCCATTGACTTCTCCGTAGGCTGCGCAACATGTTGCGCCGTGTGGGTCCCATAGGCCAGGCCATAGGCTGTGCCAGAACGAATGCGCTCGCCGCCGCCGAAGCCTAGAACGGGCTGCTTCTGATTGCGCTATGGGGTGTGCCCTCGGCCGCTAAAGTCTAAAACCGTCTGCTGGCGGTCTCATCCTGTCCAGTCCATCCATTCAGGCAGTGGGTAAGCTGGTGAGCCATATCGTTTTCTGGATGCTCGTTTTTGGGGTACGCCCCAAAGAGAGGGGATATGCCCCCCCTGCCAGCCCAGGGGAGGATCCAGCAAGCGAGCGGTGGGGCCAGCTGCAAACCTGTCACTTGCCAGTGCCTCCCTGCGAGGAGCATGAGACCGTCAGGGCGCCGGAGGACGGACCACGGGAGGCTCGGGAGGGCCGCAGGCCTAGAGGTTGACACCAACACCAGTATCGGCGGCGTGCCTCCACCGAGGAAAGAAGATCCCGGTCTCGGTGACGGTGGTGTAATACTCTGGCTCCAGGTTGACCGACATCTTACCACCAACACCGAAATCCAGGATCCTCTTCCCCCTGTGGAGGCAGCCCCCTGTGCTGTTGGTGCCCACTCCCAGGCCTCCCAGAGGGCCGTGTCTGGCCCGTGCGCCGCTCGTGCCCGAGGCTCGCCGTGGCCCGAGAAGCCGCCTCGCTCCCCGTGCTGCGCTCCCCGTTGTAACCGGGCGGCGCCGCGGCGGGCCTGGCCAGGAGGAGGAGGAGGAGGAGGAGGAGGAAGAGGAGGAGGAGGAGGAGGAGGAGGGGAAGGATTAGGAGGGGAGGAGGGGGAGGAGGAGCAAGAGGAGGAGGAGGAGGAGGCTCGAGGAGGAGGAGGAGAGGAGGGAGGAGGAGGAGGAGGAGGGGGAGGGCTGCAGACCCAGAGGCCCCGATGCCTTGCGTTGTCCATGTGGGTCCCCTCCGGATGTCTCGGGCCCCTTTTCTGCCTCGGGGCGGCTCCTCGCTCCGAGCCAGCTCTCTCGGGTGGCCCCCTGAAAGCGGCGAGGGCCCCCTCGCGGAGGCCGACAAGGTTTCTGGCTTTGGTCCCCAGGTCCCAAGATGGGGTTCTTAGTAGTTTCCAGGCACCTCCGGACCTCCTCCCTCACGCCTAACACCGTCCTGCTCCTCCTCCTCCTCCTCGTCCTCCTCCACCTCCTCCTCCTCCTCCTCCACCACATCCTCCTCCTCCTCCTCCTCCTCCTCCTTCTCCCACTCCTCCTCTTCCTCAGACTCACCCACTCCTCCTCGGACTCGCTTGTACTCAACCTCGCTCACATTCAGACTCACTCACACACACTCACTCAGACTCACTCGCTACCAGACTCAGTCATACTCGGACTCACTGACACCCAGACCAACGCATACTCAGACACCCTCATACTCAGACTCCCTCTTCCTCGCGAGTTCAGTCACAGCACTTCCTCACTCAGGCTCACTCATACTGAGATTCACGTACACATAGAGATTGTGGGGACGTCTCAGGCGAGGGGGACGTTTCAGTACTCCCAAATGGGAGCCGTCGGGGGTGGGGACGTCTCAGGCAGTGTGCTGGTTTCGGTGCCCAATACCCCCTGCTTCCAGAGCAGAGTGTCAGGATGTCTCACGTGAGGCGCTGGTTTCAGTACTCCCAAGTGGGAGCGGCGAGGGGTGGGGACACTCCAGGATTCGGGCCCAAATTCATCGGGATGTCTTAAGCGGCTTGGATGCTTGGGTGCCCAACATCCTTCGTTTTCGGAGCAGACTGCCAGGATGTCTCAGGCGAGGTGGTGGCTTCTCGGACTCACTCACATTCAGATTCATTCACACAGATTCACCTGTTCCCCGATTATCATACTCAGACCCGTTCATGCTTAGACTCTCCCCCACGCAGACACTCGCAGCGGGAAGGGTCAGGGCACATCGATACACTCATGGGGATCTCCGTGTCGAATCGGTGCATGGTGTTCTTGTCTTCTGCTGGTTCTGTTTCTTGCCCCTCTTTGCCCAGCACGCTGGAGGTCCGTTGGGGAGGGAGCCGCTGGCGGGGGGCGGCCGTGGGGGGGGGGGGGGGCGGGCGCAGCTGCCGGCGCTCATCGAGAAAGCGCTGGAGGAGGGCGAGCGGGAGCTGAAGGCCAAGCTCGTCGACGTGGAGGCGAGGCCGGCGGGGCGAGCGCCTCGCGACAGAGAGCGCCACGGTGGGCCACGGCCGCCCGCAGTTCCCGCGCCTCGTGTCGTGCCTGTCGTTCGGTAGCAGGTCATGGGAGCCTGGCGTGCCCTCTCGGTTCCGCCTTCGGCGTCGATCGGCGTCTGGAGGTGCATGAGGCAGCGCCAAGTCGGCGTCGGCTGGCGTCGATCAGCGTCAACCAGCGTCGACTAAAATCGATCGAGTCGCAACAGCCGACGAGGATGGCATGGGAGGCTCCCGTGAGTTGCCACCGATGTCAGCCGCCCGCGTGTCCGCCCCTTTGTCTCGTGCCTGTTGAGCGCGGAAGCGGGGGACATTTTGACGCGTCGCGCTGCGATGGCCTGACGATCTCAATGCGCGGTCCCCGAAGTCCCCACCCTCTCCCTCAGATGCTTGTTTTGGGCGGCCTTCCCGGGGCCCACCTAAAGGAGATGTTCGACTCTAGTTCGCCCCAGTTCGACTCAAATTCGACTCAACTTCGACTCAACTTCGACTCAGCGTCGATCTAGGTTCGACTCAAGGGCGGCTCAAATCGACGGACCTTCGACGCAGCTTCGACGCACGAGTGGAGCGAGTGTCTCCAGGAAGGTCCCCAGAGTGCGCATCCAACCACCCTTTTCCCAGGGCTTGTTTTTCATCCCGAGTCGTTGTTTGACGGTCCCAGGGCGCGCCGAGGTCCCAGTCGTGATTGTTGCAACTACGCGAGGATGTCTGTATCTTCCCCCTTTCTGACGCCCGTCTACAGGAAAGCCACGCGACGACACGTCCGCAATCCAGTGCTGTGCGACTTTCTCGGAAGGGGGAGAGGAGGCGCGACCTGCGACATCCCAGCAACACGTGGGGCATGTCTGGGAACGTACCCACACCTCTGCCCTCCCCTCGTCGCCACGGCCGGATTGTGCTTCGGAGTCCTGGGCACAAGGCGCCCCGGGAGAGGACCGGGGAGCTGCGGCATCGGAGCCTTTCTGTTCCCCCGGGGTGTGCACGCAGGCGTGTGTACTCGTGGCGCGCTCCCCTGAGGTGCGATGTTGCAAAAGTTGCGACATCGCAGAACAGCACGGCCAGAGCCCCAGACCCCAGCCTCATGCGCCAATTTCCGGGCCAGATCTACTTGTGAGAGGCCCAGGGCCAGAAGTTAGGCGAAAACGCCGGGGCTCGGGTCCAGAGGGTTTTCGACGTGCTTGAGTCGGATTCGGGCTGGTGGTCTTTTGCAGAGGGGGTTTCAAGCATGTGAGCAATAGTTGGTGCAATCGACCGTGCGGGATACGCGCGCTTTACAACATCAGCGCGTGGCTGCCACGCGCCATGCGCCACAGGGTAAGCGAACTTATTGTTTGGTTTTGGGGGCCACAGTGCGAAAAGCCTTTTGCCCGGAACCAGTCTAGAACTGGACAGGGCAAAGAGCAGCGCAGTCACAGCCTGAGAGCTCTCCGGTTTCACTGGGCAGCCCAGGCGGCGCGTGCAGCGGGCGGCCAGGCCGACTGCGCGGTGGCAAACATCAAGACGGCATGCTCTTGCTTTTCCTGCAGTCTTCGGCCCTCCGTCTCCGACCGAGGCAGCGCGAGCGCGGCTGAGGGCGCGCGGAGCAGCGACGACGGCTCCGCCCCCGTGCAGCACCGGCGCGCCCCGTCGCCAGATATCGGGCGGCGCTGGTGCCACGTTTCGGGGGCTCCTCCTCCTCCTCCCCCTCCTCCTCTCCCTCCTCCTCCTCCTCCTCCTCCTCCTCCTCCTCCTCCTCCTCCTCCTCCTCCTCCTCCTCCTCCTCCTCTTGCCTCCTGCTCCTCCTCCTCCTCCTCCTCCTTCTCCTCCTCCCCCTCCTCCTCCTCCTTCTCCTCCTCCGCGATCCGTGGATCTGCCGCCTGCGCGCCAGATCCACGCACCTCCAAGCCAGGTCCGCCAGGGAAGGGGCTGTGCGGGGCGGACGGCAGTGGCCGCGGGGCGCCGCCGCTGAAAATCGATTACGCGCAAGAGTGGCCCGTCGCCGGAGTGAGGGTCCCCAGGTGTGTGAATACGATGCGAGAGCAGCGGCTTGCGCGCTCGGGTTTGCCCCCCCCCCCCCCCCGCGCACCTGTAAGGTCGCGCACCAAAGGTCACTCCTTGCCTAGGGGCACTCTTGCGTGTAGCGTGTAGCCGATGAGAGCAGCGGCTGCCGCTGCGGGCAGCCGGCATCGATGGTGAGGGCTTGGTCGGGCTCGGCTTCTGCGGGTAATGTCCGCATGCCGTGGCCTGCGGTCCGGAGCGCAAGGCCGCGCGCCCTGGGCTACAGCTCACGGCGTGCGGCTCACCCGTTGGCTGCAGTCCAGAGCGAGCCTGGTTGCAGCGTTCAGCGCGCTGCCCCTTCCAGTGCAGTCCAGTGCACACGCGCAGCGTCCACCCGCGCTGCAGTCCAGTGCAGCGGCGCATCAGTGAGGGCTGATGGATTCAGAGGGGGACACGGCACCCACACCGCTACCCTTCGCCCGTTCTCCCCCTTTTCGGCCTCCTGGGAGGCCCTCGTTGCCACCGCTGGAAGCGCTTCGAATTTCTGGTCAGAACGCACCGCGGGAGAGGCCCGGGGAGTAGCGCTATTGGTACCTTTCGGTTCCCCCAGCGGGTGGGGAGTGGGGTGGGAGCGAGGGAATGGCAGCTTGGCGCTTGCTGCAGTTTCTGGGCCAGTGGGGGTGCCCTCGTGGCCAACGGTGGGCGGCGCAGCTCGAGGAGCTGGTCGATCCCCAGAACCCACGAGGCTTGCAGGGACCACATTCGGACGGGTTTCGGTCAGGGCGATCTGTGGTGTGACCCCGAGTCGCCGTTTCCTTCCTGGTCGCTTTCGGTGCAAAGTCGTACTGCGCCGCAGCAGTGACAGCGACAGCAGAGGAAGCAGCGGCATGGGCAACCGAATTCTCCTGTGCACAGAGCCGGCTCTCGTCATCAGGCGAAGCTCGCCGAGGAGAAGAAGGCACGCATGCAAGAGGCCAGCCTTTCTCTTTCGAACTGCCGTGCTCTAGTGCAGTCGGTTCACCTCCCCGTGCTCTAGGGAGAGGCGCGTTTGTTGTTGCTTTGTTGTTGTCGCGCTGACAGCCCAGGGCGTTGCTAAGCTCACTGTGGATGCATTTCCTGGCTGTCAGTCTTGCGGATCAGTCCTGGCTTATTCCTGACTGATGTTCCATCTCCCTCGCATTATGTCCCTGCAGTGCCCCGACCTCGCACCGAACTTCGTTTGGTACCCATGCTTCCGTTCTGTATGAGCATAGCTCGATGTCGTGCCAGCTAGCTGTCCCCAACAGTCGAGTTGCCCGTGGCCGAGGCAATCCAACACGTTTTATGTAGCAAACCCTATGTGTGGCATCACGGCATGCGTGTTCTGACAAGTTGCTGCCAGTTAGGCCCTGCTAAGTTATGTTGATTATTTTATGTGGGCTTGTTTTCTTGAAGCTAGTGATATCCATGCCTCTCTTTTTATATATGCCCTCTCTCTGAGCCTCCCGCTATGTGTCTCTCTTTATTATGTGTGTATGTGTTTTTGTTTCTCTCTCTCTCTCTCTCTTTCTTTCTCATTTGATCTCTCTATTTCTCTACCCCATCCCCCTTTCTCGCTGTCTTTCTGTTTGCCTCTCTCACTTTCTCTCTCTCTCTCTCTTTCTCTCTTCCTCTCTTTCGTTTTCTCTGTCTCACTTTCTCCCTCCCCTTTGTTCTTTTATAGAGATTGTATGCTCATACCCGTAGCCAGTCTGGCTTTTGTTCGTAACGTGCGCCCCTGGCGCCACGAACTTGTGTGCAGCCGAGGAGGCGGCCCAAGGCCCCCGTGCTTTCTCAGCTACCGCGCTGTACCCACCTCGCAGACGGCCCCCCCAGGCCAGAGGTGGCGTGTTTTAACTCTCGGCCCACGCTGGCTCTACACCCTCTAACCTTCAGCGGCCGGATGTTCGGTCAGATGCCGCCCTACTTAGTTTGTCCGACGTACCAGAAAGACTCCTGGATATGGCTGTCCAGTTCCTGTGCACCGTGCAAGTATTGTTCCACGCCCTTTCCAGGGCGCAGGCGTGGCTATGATTCTCATGACGAGGATGTTCGCCCCCCAGGTCCACGCCACATTCTGGTAAGGTTCAACCGTACCGGGAAGCTAAAATCGCCAGTCTCGCCGATGACAACGCCACTGATTATGCCGCTCTGTCGGATGTGATTGTTTCTACTGAGCGTCATCTTCGCGACCTGCAATACATTTCGAGTCGTACTGATAGTGCTAGTACCCTTGACGAGTTGCCATGCTCATCGCTACGCTAAGTCTAGCTTGCTGCCTCCTCCCGTCCAGCCTGAGCGGGCGGCCAAGAGGGCTCACTGGGGTTCAGCTTAAGCTTGACAAAGTTGACAAAGTTGTCCATGGCAATACTCCTACCCGGGACGAGGCGCTGGCCAGGGCCAGCGACTACGACGAAAGGCTCCACAACCTCCACATGAAACGCGACACCCTTGAGCTTGACCTGAAGGACTGGGAAGCTAAGCAATAGGAGCTTCGTCAGAACTCCCCCTTGCCTCCTCCGCCTGACTCGGACCCTGACCTTGCCTTTCTTCGCCTCCGTCTTGATAAGGCAGGCGTAGACGGGAAGCAGATCTTGAGTTGAAGGCCGCGCTTGCGGTTTTGAACGGACGCTTCAAGGACACACCTCCCCCTGAGGACCCAGGTGGGCCTTGGCAGTTCCGTGGGGGAGGACGCGGGGGGAACGGTATAGGTAAAGGTCGGCCGGGTGTTTACGAGCATTATCCTGCACATCATGTCGCGGATGTTCATGAATTGGGTCCAGTTCGTCAGAACCGTTTCGCGGCGTTCAAAAGGAAGGGCGACGATCTGGGCGAGGAGCTGGAGGATGAGGACCTCAGCGACGCTGGGGGCCCCTCCGACTCCGAAATGGACACCTCTGAGTGGGAGCGTAAAAATCGTCGCCGCGTGCAGGACTTTGCTCATCCACCTAATTCTGGAGGCCCCTGGCGCGGCAGGGGGTCAGGGGGGCAGCCCCCGCAAGCGCCCTAGTGGCAGTTCCCGTCGTATGAGGAAGACCCACAAGGAATGGCTGTTGCTCACGGCCAACATTGCTACTTGGTCTCGTTGTCTTGATCTGGCAGCTTCTGTAGACTTTGATGGTCTCGCTATCCAGGAGTTGTTGCGGGCTCCTGTGCCTATGGAAAGCTCCGTGGCCGGTGGAAACGCAAGAGACTTCCACGTTTGTCTTCACCATTATGGTGATACGGACTTTGGTGGTTTGTCTGCTGGGGTCGGCTTATCATCTCGCTGGGCCCACTCCTTCTCTCCTCTGGTCCTGGGACCTCAGGTCGTCGCTCCGCCTAGCGAACACTGCATTTTCCGACTTTGGCACGGTGTGATTTCCAGCGGCATTCCTTGGATCAGTTTGTATTGTTATGCAGGTCTGGACGCCGACCGCAACAACTACCAGCTGCTGCTTCAGGTACCGGCTCTCGTCAGGAGCTTGGGTACACCGTGCATTATTTCCGCTGATTGGAACATTTATTTTGCTGGTCTGGTCGGCAGTGGCTTCGTTACCCTTGTCAATTGCCACGTCCTTGCTCCTGATACTGCTACATATGAGAATGCTGGAACCTCTTCAACTATTGACTATTTTCTCGTGCATCTAGTTTTCATCGGCCATGCTCTTGTCAGGGTAATCCCATCGACGCTAACTCCCAGGAGCAGTCCTGTTGCTCTGGTGTTATGCGGGTCCGTCAAGCACGCCACGGCCACTATTTTTCGTAAGCCTCCTCGCCTTCCCATTGGTCGCCCCATTGGCTGTGACCCTGCCCCCCTGATTACAATTGTCTTGCTCATGCTGGCCCCGTACGTGACATAAAAGAACTCGATGCAAATGCTGCCCGTTGGATCAATGCGGCGGCTGTTGAGCTTACAGGGGTACATCATATATCGCCTCGTCAACGTGATCTTGGTAAGTATGGACATGTTCCTTCCAAACTTCGAGTTGAGACCCAAACGCTGTTTTCCCGGTGGACCGCTGTCGTTGGCTAGTGGGCGCATCTGGCGTCATCTCGCTTCCAAAATTGCTGGTTTCATTTACCTTGCCTCCTTTGGTTTGATGTTGCTTCGTCCGTTAGTACCCTTGCTCGATTTTGTCCTCCAGGACGACAGGTGGCCGCTCCAGCTGAGTGGCCGTAGTGGCGCGCTCAGGCCAGTTGCATCCCGTTTATGTCCGCTGAGGCGCTCCAGAGTTTCTGCGATAAGGTGGTCGTTCTTGCAGAAGCCGCTGAAACCTCGGCTGCTGCTCGCCGACACGGATCTTGGACAAGCTGGGTTCTCAAGGCGGTGACGGCCAATGGAGCGATTGCGGTGCACAGGTTCATCAACGGATGAACTCCTTGGGCTCCGTTCTGGAAAATGAGCGACCCCCCCGCATGACGCCCCGCCAGTGGGCACTCCAGAACATCACCTCGCAGCGCGTGAACAATGTTGGCATGCCCTTTGGGATCTACCTTCCAGTGGAATTGACTTGTCCTTTCTGCCAACCCTGGCTGAGCACGTTGACCCCCTTCCTGTTCTCACGAGCGACCAGTTCCTGCGGCTGGGGCGGAGATACAAGAGACGTGCTGCTATCGGACATGTTTTTCTCCCTCCCCGCCACTACGTTGTTTTGTGCGACTCTGCCTACGACTCCTTGCAATGGAGGAGGAGATGGAGGAGGAGGATAAGGAGGAGGAGGATGAGGATGAGGAAGGCGGAGAGGAGGAGGAGGAGGAGGAGGAGGAGGAGGAGGAGGAGGAGGAGGAGGAGGAGGAGGAGGATGAGAAGGAGGAGGAGGAGGAGAATGAAAGGAGGAGGAGCAGGATGAGGAGGCGGAGGGGGAATATGCATAGGGGAGAGGAGGAGGAGGAGGAGGAAGAGGAACATCAGCAGCAGCAGGAGGAGGCTGCGGAGGAGGAAGTTGAGGAGGGGGGGAGAGGAGGAGGAGGAGGAGGAGGAGGAGGAGGAGGAGGAGGAGGAGGAGGAGGAGGTGGAGGAGGATGAGGAGGAGGGGGAGGAGGAGGAGGAGGAGGAGGAGGAGAAGAAGGAGGAGGAGGAGGAAGGAGGAGGAGGAGGAGAGGAGGAGGGGGAGGAGGAGGAGGAGGGGGGGGCGGAGGAGGAGGAGGAGGAGGAGGAGGAGGAGCAGGAGGAGGAGAGTAGGAAGAGGAGGAGGAGGAGGAGGAGGGGGAGAGGGAGGAGGAGGAGGAGGAGGAGGAGGAGGAGGAGGGGAGGAGGAGGAGGAGAAGGAGTAGGAGGAGGAGGAGGAGGAGGGGGATGGGGAGGCGGAGGAGGATGAGGAGGAGGAGGAGGATGAGGAGGAGGGGAGGAGGAGGAGGAGGAGGCGTGGGAGGGGAAGTAGGGAGGAGGAGGAGGAGGAGGAGGAGGAGGAGGAGGAGCAGCAGCAGGAGGAGGAGGAGGAGGAGGAGGAGCCCCCGCTGAGGTGCCACGGGCGCCGCGCTCCCCGCCCCCCCCTCCCCTCCGCGCGCTCCCGCCCTGCGCTTCCTTCGCGCGAGGCCGAGCAGAAGCTGGACAAGGCGCGGCCTCGCGCGGCGCGTGCGGAGGGGCTGCGCTGGCAGTGCCTCGGGCATGTCTCTTTACAGGGAGGAATATGGAAATTCATAATCAATAGTCTGGAGACGAATTTTAGATTATTGGTAGACCAGTTTGGGATATGTTTGGGGCATTTGTTTTTTGTATTTTCCTCCCAAATCCGTCTGTAGGAGGACATGCCCGACCTAAAGGCATTTCCAGCTGGCCTCGACTGGCCTCCCAGGCACAGTCGACCCGCATGGTCAGCGTGGGCAGCCTTCCCGAGGAGGTACCCTTGCATCCTTGCCCACTCGGCCCATCCTTGGCGACTTTCGCTGGCCCCTGCATCCTTCCCGCGCGCCCTTATGATACGGGTCGGCTGCAGTCCCAGCTGGCCTCAGCAGGCCCCCCGAGCAGTCCGGGGCGGTCTCGACACCCCGGCGCCGCCTCCGGCGGCGCCCGCGGGACGCTCCCCGCCCCAAAGCTAGAGTGTTGAGACCGCCCCAGGCTACTTCGGCGGCGAGCGAGGGGGGGAAGCGAGAAGGCGGCGGGACTTCTCAGCAGCCCTCGCGCCTCCTGAAAGGTTCTCTGCGTCGTCGGGGCAGGCTTAGAAAAGCTTCTCGGAAGGCTGGGGGACTTCCGGAGCTTCTGAGGAGCCCTTCTCCGTCTCACCTCTCCCTGCTCGCTCGCCGCCGACTACTCGTGGGGCCTGTTGAGGCCAGCTTGGGCTCCTCAGGGGGGCCTGTGGAGGCCAGCTGGGGCTGCAGGGGGGCTGCTGTCCGGGAGCAGCCCAGGGCCCAGCTGGGCCGGCGGGGACGGCGTGGGCACCCTGCAGGAGTGATCGAGGGGCCGAGGCTCACGAGGCTCGTCTCCCTCCATCTCCCCATACCCCTCCCTGATATCTCAAAGGCTGTACTCTTCGAGTGCCTCCGAGCGCTCGCTCGACCCTCCAGGCGTTCCCTCCGCGGTGCAGGCTTTTTCCCGTTGTGGCCGCACGGCTGGCGGTTGCCGCGGCGGTCGAGGCAGCGCCTCGGCTCGGGAGCCCGCTTCGCTCTGCAGGCGGGTGGCAAGAGCCAAACTCTCTCTCTCTCTCCCCCCCCCCCCTCCTTCTCCTCCATCCTCCTTCCTTCCTCCTCCTCCTTCCTCCTCCTCCTCTCCATTCCTCCTCCTCCTCCTCCTCCTCCTCATTCCTCTTCCTCTCAAGGTCCTCTTCCTCCTCCTCCTCCTCCTCCTCCTCCTCCTCCTCCTCCTCCTCCTCCTCCATTCTTTCTCCTTATAGATGACTCCTCCCTGTCGCACCCCGAGGCAAGTTTTTATGGAGGGCCGGGCTTTTCGCCCGAGACGTCCTCACCATCTACGAGTCTCTGATGTTTTTCGAAGTGACAATCACAGATGGAGGGCGAGTGGTTTTCAAAATGTGGTTTTCGCCTTAGCGCCGCGCACATTCGTTTTCAACATGTGCAAGAGTTTCACGGGTTGAGGGCGGTTCCTTTTCAAAATGTGGCTCTCGCCCTAGCGCCGCGCACACTCGTTTTAAACATTTGCAAGGGTTCCACGCGTTGAGGGTGGGTCGTTTTCAAGGTGTGGCTCTCGCCGTAGCGCCGCGCAACTTCGCTTACAACACTTGCAAGAGTTTCATGGATTGAGGGCGGTTTCTTTTCAAAATGTGGCTCTCGCCCTAGCGCCGCGCGCATTCGTTTTAAACATCGGGTTCTTATGATCAGCGTACCAGAAATGGTGTTTTGGACGGATTCTGGATTATGCGGGCGCGACAGTTATGTTGTTTCGCTGTGTTGAAATCCCCAAACTGGCTTTCAAGTGCGAATCTGGATGATTCTGGATCGTCACGACGCAGCAGTCAGGTTGGCACGTGGCGTTGAAATCCCGAGAACAATGTTTTGGCACGCTTCAGGACCTTCAAGCTGTTGTCTTCCAGCGAGGCAGTTCCCTCAATGGAAATGAACCGTTGTAGGGGCATATGAAGAGGGAGCTTGGAGGCAGGATTTACTCCAACTTCGTTGATGACTCTTAGGTTTCCACTGGTCCTCCTCCTCCTCGTCCTCCTCCTCCTCCTCATTCTCCCCCTCCTCATCCTCCTCTTCCTCCTCCTCGCTCCTCCTCTTCCTCGCTCCTCGCTCCTCCTCGCTCTTCGCTCTTCGCTCTTCGCTCCTCCTCCTCCTCCTCCTCCTCCTCCTCCTCCTCCTCCTTCTCCTCCCCATATCGCTACCCCTGCCTCGTTTCCCCCTTCCCTCCTGGGAGGCCCTCGTCGCCACGGCTGGATTCGCCTCGAAGTGCTGGTCAGAGGGCACCCTGGGAGAGAGGTCTGGTGGGGAGCAGCAGGATGCGTACATGTCGCGTTCCCCAGCCCTGGGCGTGGTGCCCGGCAGACTTCTGGGACGCCCACGGTCCCAAAGAGGTGCGTCAGTCGGAGCAGCTCCCAGCAGCTGCATCTCGCCAGGACCGCCAAAGCTGCTGGATGTTGCGCCATCGTTTCTGGCCTGCTTCTTCCCGCGCTTCCTGCCCGATCGCCTGCGGCTCCCCACCTTGCGCTACAGTTGGACCGAGGTGTAAGGTCGAGATCGGTTCGGGGAGGGTGCCCTAACGTTCTTCTTGTTTGTTGGATGTTCATGTGCATCCTGGTCAGGGTGCCCTTGAATGTTCTGTTTGTTTTGGCCGGTGGATGGTCTCGTGTTCTTGAGGGATGTTCTGCTGGCTTGCGTCAAGCTGCATCGCCACTCCGTTTTGCGTCATCCGTTGCTTGGGCCTGCGTCGCCGGTTGCCCCTGCCGGCCCCCCTGTCAGGCCATCGAGGAGCGCCTCAAGGAGGCCGGCAGTGGGCTTTTTCTGACCACGAGTCGAGCGAGGGAGCGGTGCGCAGTAGGTTGTGGAGCGGTAGAGTGGGAAGGAAGAGGAGGATGAGGAGGAGGATGAGTAGGAGCGGGACCGGTAATGTCAAGTTCTCGCTTGCCGCAAACTGCTATTTGGCAAACGCGCCGCGCCAAGATACCCTGGACGTGGGACTTCCCGTAAACGGAATAGTGAACGCCGCACCATTTAATTCTGCAGGAACGTCGGTCAGAAGTGTCCCACGACAGGCATGAATCAGAATGTCAGATAATGGGTGCAGGGGGAGGAATAGGGGGATGATGAGGGGGATGATGAAGAGGATGTCGGTGGGGTGTCGCGGTCGCGTGCTTAAAAGGCAGGTCATTGTCCGCCCATCGACGAGATAGCTTCCAGTGCCCCTCCTGCGTTCCGACGGGAGGCCTTCGCTGCGACCCCGCCCCTCAGTGCGGGGAGCGGTGGTGGGAGGGGGGATGATGATGATGATGATGATGATGATGATGATGATGATGATGATGATGATGAGGATGAGGATGAGGATGAGGATGAGGATGAGGATGAGGATGAGGATGAGGATGAGGATGAGGATGAGGATGAGGATGAGGATGAGGATGATGGTGGTGTTGATGATGACGATGATGATGATGATACTGATGTTGATGATGCTGATGATGATGCTGATTAGGATGATGGTGATAATGATGTTGATGACGATATTGATGATTGTCATGGTCATGGTGATGGTGATGCTGCTGATGAGGATGATGGTATACTGGTGATGCTGAAGATGGCGATGATGACGATGATGCAGATGATGGAGATGATGATGATATACTGGTGATGCTGATGATGAAGATGATGATGTTGATACATATGATGTTGCTCATGATGGTGATGGTGATGGTGATGATGATGCTGCTGATGGTAAGGATGCTGAGTATGGTGATGCTGCTGCTGATTATGTTGATGATGCTGATGATGCTGTTGATGATGGAGATGATGGTTATTGTGATGGTGATGATGCTGATGATGGTGATGATGCTGATTCTGGTGAAGATGCTGATGCTGATGATGCTGGTGATGCTGATGATGCTGTTGATGATGGAGATGATGGTGATTATGATTATGATGATGGTGGTGAGGATGGTTATGATGATGATGATGATGCTGTTATGATGTTCATGGCCCCTTAGAGGCCTCCATATATACTATGTAAGGAAAGTAGGGAAAAAGTTGTAAAAAGTTGATTTGCATGTGTTCAAAAAACTTGGTTTTAAGTGCCCCCAAAGTTGATGTCACAACGTCGCCCATATATTATACATTCACATACATAACGTATGAGTACAGACTCGGTCACGACTCAGCCTAGGGAACGTACGTTCGGCATCGGCGATGCATCGAAACCTTATCGGGATGCGTAATGCAAGTGCAACGCTTCGAGGGTCTCGCAAGCACAAGTATCGGCGATGCATCGGGAACGTCGGATGCATCGGCATGCGGATTGCACCATCTTTCCGTAACCATTTTGGCTCAACTGATTCGATCTGTTCGGCCCCCTTTCGTTGAGGAATTAGCCACATCGGATGTCCGATTCAGAGGGCGACGCCCGTTTCGGCGCGTGGGCTGCGACGCGCGTGGTGCTGGACAGCGCCAGCGAGCAGGAGGACGGCGACCCTTTTGGCGCGTGGTCTGGGGTGCAGCTGTCCCCACCGACGCCTGGGGCAGCGGAGGGCGCCGATGGCCTTGGGGAAGCGCATTCCCCTCCCGCTGATGTCGCTCCTCCGCCTGCCCCTGTTCCTCCACGTCGTCATCTTCCCGCGGCGGCTGTGGGCTGGGAGCCCGTGGCGCGAGAGTTGGTGCGTCGGCTTCGACGCGACGCTGGGCCTCTTCTCGCGCTGGAAGACGCCCCTGCTGAGGGCGTCGCGGCGCCTGGAGACCCGCCTCTTGCTGGAGAGGCCGAGGCCGAGGCTCGTCATCACACAAAGGGGGTTCGATACACTGTGAGTTCGCATTTCCTGGAACGGAAGGGGAGGTGGGGGAGTGGGAGGGAGAAGTGATGGAGGAGTGGGGGGCATGATTGTGATGTACACAAATGATGATGAGGAGAAGGGGGATTTGTTCGAACCTATGTGAGCTCACGGTGTGTCGAATGAAGGTTGCCCTGTCACTGCGGTCTCACATGTGTTTCGCGGCGGCGATACCGAGGCCCGCGTTTGCAGATGTTGTGCTTTCACCAACTGTATTCACTGATGTTGGGCTATACGATTGCATGCAGGCTTTTATTGGTCAGTGTACTGAGACTGGGGAGGCGGATCGCTCTTCTCGAAAAGCACCAACCGATCCCGACAACAATACTATTGTGGAGTATTGTTTGGTATCTGGTGGTTTGACGTTGACCTTGTCAGCCGATTCCAAACTCGCTCAAGTGGACCGCAAGAAATATCGAGCCGTGCAGGCTGATCTCGCGATGACGTGTGTATTGTTTGAGCGGCTGCAGGCTGTCAAGATATCCCAAGAGGTCGTGCGAGCTTTATCTAACCAGCCAGGTTGCACACTAATCAGTTACACGGAGTTCGCTCGCTACGATGAAACACCTTTACAATTCAGCGTTCGAGGTAAAGAGATTCCACTGGAGAGTTTTGCAGAGAAGGAAACGTTGCCAAACCTTTTATCGCCACACGTAGTGCCCAAAGACTCCTTGCCAGCGAAGATAGTGAACGGTGAAACTTCAATTGTGTTATTGTTCTCTCACCACGATGATTTGGTTTGCTTGGAGATGAAATTCACGCATTGGCTTCAATCAGTGCAGAGCACCACTCACGGATGTTACCTTCGAGCGGCACAGCAAGCACGTTTGCCTATGAATGATGTGGCTGCGAGCTTCAACCGCAGGCAGCGAATTGCGACCACTGATCAAGATGCGGCGATTGAGAAAGCAGAGGTGCACTTGTATTCAAAAGATAAGGGCATGGCATCAATGAGGGCAAAATGTGAAGTTCATATGGGCCAGAACATCAGAACAAAAACGATGAAAGGATTCTCACACGTTATTTCTTTCTTGATCCACATATGCCTTGCAGTCGGCATGTCGGCCGCCATGAAAATCATGAGGGAGGAGTTGCGAACATATTTAAAGAATGCTGTGAAATACGTGAGGGGCGACCCGCCAGTGCGCCATAGAGCCCGAGTGCGGGCTCTCCTTGACACGTTCACGATTAAGAGCAACAAGAAGGATATCATCAGGAGGGCGGTCATTCAATCTCTGTTCACAGGTGACCCTGATGCAGATGATATAGTCCATTATTGCCCAGGGTGTTGCACAGGGGAGCAAGATTGTAGTGTGAAGTTTCAGCGGTATGCAGTTGACGCGTTGTGTAGTCAGAGACCGACCCCATTTCCGCTACACAGGTGGACGAGACAAGAAGAGAGTGTCAATTTTGTTGGGATATTTGAAGGGCTCAACCGTTTGTTGTCCAAGACTTTTGCGAGATTTTGCGATCGACTCGGCTACAAGGTTCCACGTTTGTGTTCGTTGCATGGGAGCTGGGCTTCTCGTATGTTGGCACTGGAAGATATTGTCCAAAAAGGAGGAGTGGAACTCGACGGTCCAGGCGAATATGAAGATCCAGTCCCGAAGCCTTCGGCGCCGACTGGCGGCCACGAGGCTAAACAGAAGCAGCAGTCAAAATCTCGACGGATTTGTTGCCAGATGCTCAGCCTTGAGGGGGAGGGCCCCATGGCTGAGGTTATTGTTCTATCCAACGTGATTGAGCCGCAGAGGAGATTCATGGCAGACCTGCTGGTGCTTGGTGGCCACAAGTGGGAAGATGAACAACGTTTCGTATGCATTGCGCACATTGTATCTCGAGCAGACCGTGCGTTCCGATCGCACCGTGGGCTCGTAGCAGCATCCGGCCAGGTGGAGTTGGATCTGATCAACGATGTGGTTGCTCGAATGTCTACGCCTTCTCGGTGGGAAGCTGTTCCTCCCGAGTGTCGGAACGTGGCGCTCCGCAACAAGGCGTTCAAAGGTTTGGCGTCCACGTTGTGTTTGGCGACGTACATGATGAACTTCCACCAAGGATACCCTTTTAAGATATTCAACCTGATGGTGAATCCTTCAGATGAGCTCGTGTCGGAAATATTGGCTGATCATCACCTCTGGTGCGATTGGTCCAGGGCTTTTATAGCGCACTGGCAGACTGAAGGTGGGCTCACTTGTTCTGGTGCGTTGCTTGAGATACGAGTTGTGTTGATCATCGCAAAGTTTGACACTTCTGCGATCGAGGCGAAGCACGCCGCTATTCGTCGAGTTCTTCGGGCCCTTTGCAATCAATCCAAAACGCCTGCTTTGTCAACGGCCTCTGCAATGGAAGTGCTTCGGTTATTCCGCGTCTACGCAGAGAAGTTCGGGAACATCCTGTTTCCACAAGGTGCTGACGGACATGGTGCTCTGGAGAACCAGGGCAATGATGATCAGGAGCAGGGGCCTCCGTCGAAGAGGCTTCGTGGAGGCGGTGGTACTTGGAGAACGCACGTGAGCAACAACACTGGTCCAGGAGTGTTCGCTGATTTTCACGCCCTTGCTGCTTCGCATGCTGCTATCCCGAGGGATTCGGACGAGTGGGCACGCTTGGTAGAAGCTGGGCGTGCAGCGACAAAGAAGCACCGAGAAGGCGATTCCCTTTTTCAAACATTCCAGTCCGTGTGTGCATGGGCAACGCAGTAAATTTCTGCCGATCGGAACACGGGGGAGGAGGTGGAGGAACGATATAGGGAGGGGGAGAGCCACCGTGAGGGCGATGTTGGGGTCCCTCGGCCTTTCCCGCATAGTGCGCCCCCCCTTCTCGCTGTCCTCTCTTTCTCTCGCTCCGCTGTGGGAGGCTAGGGGACGTCGGCAGTCTGGCTATCTGCGCGCTCGGGGATCGGCGCGCATTAGCATCGCCCTCGACGCGGGGCTAATGCTTTGCAAGGGAACGCAAAA